AGCCAGAGCTCGTCTTTCCACCTGGTTTGTGCAGCTGCCTGTAGCTTCTGCTAAATGTGTTCACATGCTTTCTGTTCCCTCTGCCTCATTCTGACAAGTTAGTTCCAGTTTAGCACTTCCAGGCAGGACGTGTGGAGCTCACAGCCTCCTTTCCTCTGCCGCGGTGAGTCAGACTGGCCTCTCCAGCTGAGATATTTACCGTCTCATGAAATCACGCCCTGATCACAGGCGCACCTTCTCCCTCGCTCATCACTGATGACATCTAGAATGACTTTGTGCCCTCACACCGTCCGTGGCAAGGTCAGGAGGGTTTGTTAATGCACCGCACGGATCCGGTGCGCTCTACAGTCATCATATGTGACACGCAGGCTGAGGTGAATGATGGAAAGTCAGTAAGAGCTTGTGCATGTAAACGTTCTCAGAATTTTTCGCAAGGTTCTCTCAACTTTATGAACAAACGTCCTTCCAGTAACATTAATGGAATTTTTGTTCAAAGTTGTAACATTCTCAGAATGTTAGCCCAAAAACATAATTTATAATTAAGTTATACATAATTTATACATTTTTTAAATGTAGGTACTTGTTGCAAAACATTTCTAAATATTCTCTGAATGTTCAAAACTATTTTAAAAATGTTTAAAAAACGTTTTTTCTTAGTTCCGTTTTATTATTTTGCAAACATTATGTGAATGCTACTTTTGAATGTTTTCTAAACCATCTTAGATGAATGTCCACCTAAAACGTTTCAGAAACACGTTGCATGACTGATGTTTAAATTGGTTTTGTGCTAACGTTTTAAGAATGTTTTTACTTTGAAAGAACGATCTATTAATGTTACTGAAGGAATGTTCATAATTTTGAGAGCACCTTGCCAGAGCATTCTGAGAACGCTTCCATAATGTTTGCAAAATGATAAAATGGAATGTTTCCTTAATGCTTGCATAACCCAGAAAAAAAAACATTTATAAAAGTTTTAAATAACTGGATGTTTTGAATGTTCAGAAATTTTACAAAAAAATTTTTACTTGAAAAACATACTCCATTTATTTATTTTTATTCATAATTTTTTTACAACTTTATTTACCAATAAATAAATAAATAAAATACAGTGTTCATTCGTGTGAATGCTGTTTGGTGTAATTTGTTGTAAACACCAACAGTTTTTCTCCAATTCTGACTTCTTTCCCCGCAGTTCAAAACTGTGAAATTATTTTTTTGAAGTTGTAAATAAATCAAAGATTATTAGAGTATATTTTACATGCAAATATTTTTTTGTAATTGTTTGTGAAATTTACTAGCGATATCTGAGTGACAATTGTTTCTACACCAGTTGTTTTCAGTCTAAGAAAAAAGGCCAGAATTGTGAGATATAAACTCAGAATTCTGAGGGGGGAAAAATGTGTCAATTTAAAAAAAAAGTTGCAATTACACTTTTTTATTTATTTAATTATTTATTTATTATTCCATGACAAAATAAAGTTATTTAAAGGCAGGGTTGGTGATGTGGTTCAAAAACATGTTTTGTTATGCTGGTTGAAAGTCTCTTCACATCCCCATAGCAATCACTAAGTTAAGTGCTCTAAATATATTTATTCCATAGGACCATAAAATGTTCATCCAACCATATCCCTCGGTCCGAGGCTTACGATAGGCTGTCCTACTTGCCTGTCAATCTATGTATTTGCATACCTCTGCGTGACCTCCGAAATTGCCCACCCTACCTTTAATCCATGTGTGAAATTTACTTGCAAAATCTAAATTCTACAACTTTCAATAGAATAATTAAGTATATTTTACAGTATTTTTTCAGTGCACCAAAACCAAAGCCCTTCTCCATCAGTTGCTCAGTTTGGCCAGGAGGCCAGCTCTAGGACGAGTCCTGGTTGTTTCAAACTTCTTCCATTAAGGGTAACAGAGACTACATGCTTCTGTGACCCTTCAATGAAGCAGAATTTTTTTCTGAACTCTTCCACAGATGTGTGGCTTGATGCAAACCTGTTTCTGAGCTCTACATGCAGTTCTTTTGACCTCAGGGCTTGGTTTTTGCTCTGATATGCATTATCAGCTGTTAGACCTTTTATTAAGACGTGTGTGCCTTTCCAAATCATACCCATTCAATTGAATTTGCCACAGGTTAACTTCACTTGAAGTGTAGTAACATCTACAAGCAATATGAATGCTCCTGAGCTAAATATCAACTGCCTCAGATAAGGGTATGAATACTTATGCAATGGAATCATTTTAGTTTTTTATTTTTAATAAATTTGCAAAGATGTTAAAAACCTGTTTTTTTGCTTGACAGTTATTGTGTATGGTGTGTAGATTGTTGTGGAAAACTAATTTAAAGCAGTTTAACATAAGGCAGCAACAAAACAAAATGTAAAAAAAATGAAGGGGTATGAATACATTCGCAAGGCACTGTAAAATATACTTTTGTTTGCCGTGTTTGTTGTTGCACAGTGTGTGTTAGTCTAAATAAGTGTTGTTAGTAGTGTTTAACCAAACTACTGTCATTATTATAGTGAAATAACACTGAAACTAAAAGTAAAATGGTTTAAAAAAAAACATACTTAAAAAAAAAATAATAATAACTTGATGTACTAAAATAACTCAATCTCAAGCATTGTTTTGCATGGGCAAACACCACTCACATTTAGTACAGAAAGTACAGAAATCTTGTTGTTTACTATATAGTGTAAGATTTCCATTGTACAAGTCACATGACTCTCTGGCTCCACCTTCCCTCATTTGCACTGCAAATAATGATGTGTGAATTTGAACCTTATAGCCAGAGCTCGTCTTTCCACCTGGTTTGTGCAGCTGCCTGTAGCTTCTGCTAAATGTGTTCACATGCTTTCTGTTCCCTCTGCCTCATTCTGACAAGTTAGTTCCAGTTTAGCACTTCCAGGCAGGACGTGTGGAGCTCACAGCCTCCTTTCCTCTGCCGCGGTGAGTCAGACTGGCCTCTCCAGCTGAGATATTTACCGTCTCATGAAATCACGCCCTGATCACAGGCGCACCTTCTCCCTCGCTCATCACTGATGACATCTAGAATGACTTTGTGCCCTCACACCGTCCGTGGCAAGGTCAGGAGGGTTTGTTAATGCACCGCACGGATCCGGTGCGCTCTACAGTCATCATATGTGACACGCAGGCTGAGGTGAATGATGGAAAGTCAGTAAGAGCTTGTGCATGTAAACGTTCTCAGAATTTTTCGCAAGGTTCTCTCAACTTTATGAACAAACGTCCTTCCAGTAACATTAATGGAATTTTTGTTCAAAGTTGTAACATTCTCAGAATGTTAGCCCAAAAACATAATTTATAATTAAGTTATACATAATTTATACATTTTTTAAATGTAGGTACTTGTTGCAAAACATTTCTAAATATTCTCTGAATGTTCAAAACTATTTAAAAAATGTTTAAAAAACGTTTTTTCTTAGTTCCGTTTTATTATTTTGCAAACATTATGTGAATGCTACTTTTGAATGTTTTCTAAACCATCTTAGATGAATGTCCACCTAAAACGTTTCAGAAACACGTTGCATGACTGATGTTTAAATTGGTTTTGTGCTAACGTTTTAAGAATGTTTTTACTTTGAAAGAACGATCTATTAATGTTACTGAAGGAATGTTCATAATTTTGAGAGCACCTTGCCAGAGCATTCTGAGAACGCTTCCATAATGTTTGCAAAATGATAAAATGGAATGTTTCCTTAATGCTTGCATAACCCAGAAAAAAAAACATTTATAAAAGTTTTAAATAACTGGATGTTTTGAATGTTCAGAAATTTTACAAAAAAATGTTTACTTGAAAAACATACTCCATTTATTTATTTTTATTCATAATTTTTTTACAACTTTATTTACCAATAAATAAATAAATAAAATACAGTGTTCATTCGTGTGAATGCTGTTTGGTGTAATTTGTTGTAAACACCAACAGTTTTTCTCCAATTCTGACTTCTTTCCCCGCAGTTCAAAACTGTGAAATTATTTTTTTGAAGTTGTAAATAAATCAAAGATTATTAGAATATATTTTACATGCAAATATTTTTTTGTAATTGTTTGTGAAATTTACTAGCGATATCTGAGTGACAATTGTTTCTACACCAGTTGTTTTCAGTCTAAGAAAAAAGGCCAGAATTGTGAGATATAAACTCAGAATTCTGAGGGGGGAAAAATGTGTCAATTTAAAAAAAAAGTTGCAATTACACTTTTTTATTTATTTAATTATTTATTTATTATTCCATGGCAAAATAAAGTTATTTAAAGGCAGGGTTGGTGATGTGGTTCAAAAACATGTTTTGTTATGCTGGTTGAAAGTCTCTTCACATCCCCATAGCAATCACTAAGTTAAGTGCTCTAAATATATTTATTCCATAGGACCATAAAATGTTCATCCAACCATATCCCTCGGTCCGAGGCTTACGATAGGCTGTCCTACTTGCCTGTCAATCTATGTATTTGCATACCTCTGCGTGACCTCCGAAATTGCCCACCCTACCTTTAATCCATGTGTGAAATTTACTTGCAAAATCTAAATTCTACAACTTTCAATAGAATAATTAAGTATATTTTACAGTATTTTTTCAGTGCACCAAAATAATGACCTTTGACATCAAAACGGGCATTTTCCCCTGCTTTTTAATAGTTGATAATTGTATTTATTTTCCCATCTTAACTATGCACAGTTGCATGGTTGATTGCGTTTTATTCTTGGCATTCTGCATCGTTTTGCTTGCCATCCGTGACCCGTTGTTTGTTTCTGACCCTTCAGAGACGCTCTGCTTTAGAGAACATTCAGAGACAATCATCTGTGAGACTCAGTGTAAACACAGAGGATTCAGCAATCTGAAACAATCACATGCACTGACCTTTAAATGTGCAATAACATGGCTGCTGTAATTCTTCATCCTCTCACAGCCTCTCTGTTGAATCATTCGTCATTCGTCCATTCAATCATACGAGCTCACCCTTCCCTCTCTGTCTCTCTCCAGAATACCTTCTTGCCTGCTAACACGGAAGAGGACATCTTCGCCCATTTGGGTTTAGAGTATATTGAACCTTGGCAAAGAAATGCCTAGTTTCAGTCTCTGCTCTGTGAAGCCTGCTGATGTCCTGGACAGATTCAACACCCTCGACATGACGCTGACGCTGATTCACACTCAAATATCCGCAGCATGATTTCACCACCCAGCGTGAGCATTATTGATAGTTCATGGAGTTCTGTTTTCTTTCTCAAATACACATACAGTGACACCCAAAAGTATTTGGACACTTAAAAATGTCTAAATGTCCATGCATTACTTTGCAGCACACTTTTCAAGCGAAGCATTTAATAAAAAGTGTAATTTCTGCAGCACAAAATGAAACCATAAAAATGATGATTGTTTCCAAACAGGTTACGCTCAAAATCATGCAGTTTTCACATTTTAATCAATTTATGATGGATGAAGACAATGTTATTTTTCTAAATGCACTACCATTCAAAGGTTTTTTTTTGAAGGAAGTCTCTTATATATCAAGGCTGCTTTTATTTGATCAAAAATACAGTAAAAATTGTGAAATATTATTACAAATTAAATTAACTGTTTTCTATGTGAATATCTGTTTAAATGTAATTTATTCCTGTGATCAAAGCTGTATTTCCAGCATCATTAGGCCAGTCTTCAGTGTCACATGATCTTCAGAAATCATTCTAATATGATGATTTGCTGCTCGAGAAACATTTCTGATTATTATCAATGTTGAAAACAGTTGTGCTGACGAATATGCTGATGAACAATACATTTTATTTTTCAGGATTCACAGCTGAATAGAAAGTTCAAAAGAACAGCATTTATTTGAAATAGGAATGTTTTGTAACATTATAAATGTTTTTACTGTCACTTTTGATCAATTTAATGTGTCCTTGATGAATAAAAGTATTCCTTTCTTTAGAAACAAAAAAACAAAAACAAAACTTACTGAATCCAAACTTTTAAACTGTAGTGTATGTCCAGTTATGCAAAATATGCAAAAAGGGTTGCAAAATTAACTTTAAGCTGTGATTTGGCTCTTTTTTTTTCATTTGATTTGATGATGATTATTCAAGTTTTCCTTCTCTTAGTCTCTGAGACATTCGTTTAGTTAGTAGAGTTACATGATATTACATCAGAACAGTTTATTTTTTGTCAATAGAACCATTGAACATTAGTGAATGTTAATCAAAATATGATTTAAATGAGTAGAAACTATCATGAGCTGGCTGTTTAAACAACTCAATTAAAAAAAAAAAATCTGTTAATTATAATGAAAATGATGTAACAATGTTACACTGTGATGCATCACACACACTTGCTAACAGGAAACGTTCTGGCAAGGTTCTCTCAAAGTTATGAACAAACGTTCTTCCAGTAACACTAATTGAAGGTTTGTTTAAAGTTATCTGGTCTTTAGTAACATTCCCTAAACGTTAGCACAAAAACATTATCTATACATTGTTTATGGAACGTTTTTTTTTTTTTACATTTTAATTGGACGTTCATTTAATGTTTTATAAACGTTACTACTTAGTAGTTTCACATGGTTGAGAAAACATTCAAAAGTAACATTCTCATAATGTTTGCCAAATAATAAAATGTAACGTTCTCTTAATGCTGTCTTCAAACATTCACATAACCAAGAAAAAAATGTTTAAACTACAAAAACAAAACCTGGACATTCTTCTAACGTTACTGCATACTGTACTAGTTTCACATGGTTTAGAGAACATTCAGAAGTAACTTTCCCATAATGTTTGCAAAATAATAAAATGTAATGTTCCCTTGATGTTGTCTTTAGCATTCACATAACCAAGAAAGAAAGCTTTTTAAACATTAAAAAAAACAGATGCTCATCTAACTTTGTTATTAATAATTGCTAAATTATGTTACTATTTACTAGTTTCAAATGGTTGAGAACATTCAAAAGTAACATGCCTATAGCGTTTGCAACATTCCCTTAATGTTCTTTTTATGTTCATATAATCTAGAAAAATCTAGTTTTTTAAAGCATTTAAAAAACATTCAGAAATAACGGTTTAACAATATATTTTTATTACCTGGGAAGACGTGATGCAATATTTAATTCCTCTTTCGGTGTTTGTTCAGTTGTAAATGCTGTGATATTTTACTGCATGCAAAGCTCTTCATCATGTTTGTTTGTTACTCAAGCGTAACCCATAAGATCACAAGGTCTAGATCTTTAAGTAGAACAGCTCAGGCGTTTCCAGGACCCGACCCAAGGGCCTCTCTTTCTCTCTCTTTTTATCTCTGGCCCTTTCCAAAACGCAGAGCGTCAGTCCTGTGAACCGGACTGAACCGGCTCCAGCATTCAAACTGGGTTAGCTACTGTTGTGTTGGCGTTAAATTACTTTACACTGAATTTTACGGCCCACAGCAACACCACAATTCCCATCAGGCTCTGCGGTGCTGTGCTTTCTATGAGTAATCTTCAGTAACAAAAGCTTTATTAGATTCTGACTTTGCTAATTCCAACAATAGCTGTGATCCAAAGAGACGCACTTTAAAATCTAAATTCACTCTATTTATTTTTCATAATACGTCTGCGGTCCTATTGTGCGTGATTTATGAGTCCAAAGAAGAAAAGTTCTGTGCGGATTCTCACCATCATCAATGCATTAGCTGATTTTCAGTTCATTTTCTTCTTAGGTAACACATTTAGGTTATAAAAAGGTTGTGAGAACAAGTGCTTCTAAAATGATGAAATGTCCGTGACTGGAACTGGTTACAAAAACGTTTCTCACAACATTTTACTAACCTTTTCACCCAAAATATAACAATATTTTAATGTTATATATATATATATATATATATATATATATTTTCTAAGAAGGTGAAAATGTCATTAGAAAGGTATGAAAAAGTTACAGAAACGTTTAACATTCTAAATATAACATTATTTGAATTTTTATTTTTAATATTCTAAAAACGTTAAAATTTGTGTTAATTTCGTTAACGAAAACTATGACGAAAAATGTTAGTTGATGAGCTTTTTTCCCATGACTAAAACGAGACGATGACAAGATGACAATAAGCTCAATAAACCATAACTGTGATTATATCAGCATGCAATATCGTTATAATAGAGAAACATTATTGCCATTTGGAATTATTATTAGGAATTTTACTGTTGTTTTTGCCAGTTTTCATAATGTAGACGTAGACAGAGACAGAGCATATCTAAGTCTTTGATATTAATTCATATATTAAATAGCCTATAATAAATCAGTAGATGAGGTCAAATAAAGTCCACATTCTATTGATTTTTGCTTATTGGTGAAAGTGCAATATCTGAAATATAAAAATAAATTTCTCAAATGACAACAATCTTTTAGATTATAATTTTGAGCAAAAAATATTATTTTTTTGATCAGTTTAACTGTTCAGTTTAACTGACGAAAAGTTTTCATCGACTAAAACTTGACTAAACAAAAACAGGACAAGGTAAATGGACTAAATATGATAATAACTAAAAAGTACATTGGACACCAGGACTAAGACTAAATTAAAAATGGCTGACAAAATTAACGCTAGTTAAAATGTCCAGTTTTCGTAGTTAGAAAGTTTTAAAGGTTACAAAAACGTTTCTCACAACATTCTACTAATTTTATTTGTTCCCAAAATGTAACGTTATTTGAATTTTTATTTAATTTTTTTTATAATCTAAGGACGTCAAAATGTCCAGTTTTCTTGTCCTAATTACAAAGTTATTTAAAGGTTACAAAAACGTTCTCACAACATTCTACTAATTTAATTTGTTCTCAAAATGTAACGTTATTTGAATTTGAATTTGAATTTTTTCATATTCTAAGGACGTCAAAATGTCCAGTTTTCTTGTCCTAATTACAAAGTTATTTAAAGTTTAAAAAAAACGTTTCTTAGAATGTTCAAGTGCAAATAACATCATAAGGACATTTAGACAACGTTGATCTCAGAACGTTTTCACAGCGTTATGAGAATGTATATCAAATATGAATTCAGTTATAAGAACGTTCCATAAACATTACTTTAAGAACGTTTGGTCCTAACATTTATGTAACTTTTAAACAACGTTCCCCGTTAGCTGAGTTCTTTCTTCGGGTGTTTTGAAGGATTTTTGGAAATCAGAAAAAGGAAATAGCAATTACATATGCATCTCTTCTGCTTTTGTTCTTGCTTGCTTTGCTATTGTGATGCTGGAAGTCTATAGGACAAACCAAGACTGTGTTCATGTGCGAATCTAAAGTCTGTGTGTGATCTGATCATCATCTGGACGCCGTTCTGTGTTGATTTGGCTGGAGGTGAATTTGCATATTTGATTTGAATATTTATTTGTCTTGAAAATGAGCTTTAATATTGTGTTCGGAAATTCGAATGAGTTCTCACTTTGTAGTTTCTGTGAGCTGAAGAAAGTTAAGTTTTAAGATGATTTTTGAATATGCTTTCAGCGCATTCAAACTTTAAAATGCTTAATGTGCTGACAATAAAGTTCTGTTCTGTTCTTTCCGCCTGTTTTTAATAAAAGACACTTTGCTGGAAGCAAGAATCCTTTCAGTCTTTAAGGGATGGTTCACCTAAAATGAACTTTCTGTCATCATTTACTCATCCTTATGTATGACTTACTTTCTTCAATAGAAGAAAAATCTAATCTACTGATCTACTATGCTATGTTCTTAATACATTAATATTAATTTTAATAATTATATTTTTAGTTTGATAATTATTAATTTCATATTTATTAAATAAAATGTTAGCAATTATTTATTTGAATAACAATTTATTATTATTTGTTGTTAATTGTGCAGACAGGAGATGTATAGCAAAATCTTCACACTACACTTTATTCTATAATTATAATTTTAATAATAACTATAATTTTAATTGTAGTAATTATATTGTTCATTTAATAATTAAATATTTTAATACTTATTAAACTACACTTTATTCTTGCTATGTTAAAATACATTTTAATAATTGTGTTAAGTTAATAATTACTAAATAATTTAATAATTAATTTGAATAACTATTATTTAATTTATTATTAAATGCATAGAGGAGATATTTAGCAAAATCTTTTTTTTTACTATACCCTTTCTTAATTTTAATAATTATATTATAAATTTAATAATTATTCAATAAGTATTACTGTGATCATTATTAAATAATAAACAATTTAATAATTATTTATAAATTTTAATAACTGTTTATTAATTTATCATTAAATGCATAGAC